CCGGCTGAACGGCGCGAAGTCACTGATGGTAGCGTGGACGACTCAGCAACGACGAGAACCGACTCAGCAACGACGAGAACCGTCGTGGTGGTCGTCGTGGTGGTCGTCCTGGTGGTCGGGTGATGTCGGCCACGAGCTAGTCCAGGACGGCCACGAGCTAGTCCAGGTCTGGGGCAAAATCTCCATGCACAGTAAGCATGCCTTGGTGTTTGGACACGAGCTAAAGAGCGCGAGTCCTGTTGTGGCAAATCTGGTCGTGGAAGACTGCAAAAGTGCAGGTACAAGTGTCACGGCGGCGGTGGCACAGGAAGCGTAGAGGTCGGCTGACATTCCTTACAGGAGGTGGTATGCGGCTTGGTTATGTCCTCTGGATGCATGCGTGGTGTATTGGTTGGTAGAAGCTTGTTTCGCACCCCTTGGAGATGTTGATCTTCGGACAGCCTGGGAAGAAACAGACTCGTTGGTTGGGAGTAAGTGTATTGTTTATTTGGCGGGAAGATGGAAGTCGTCAGGGTCCGCAATTTTCTTCGGGGGTCGGTGCTGCGAGAAATTGGAGGTCAAAGCCGGCGCTTGCGCCGAAAATTGCTGGGCGGGTTGTCGCCGATATGGTATACGTCAATGTGCGGTTTCAGGTGCCACGTTATTCCACTCTGTGGTCCGTATTCAGCGTTCAATCGCTTGTTCCTGAAACTCACCGCTCATTTTCGAGAAGAACCCTGGCCATTCATTGGTGACACTACTAACGGCTCGGCCATCTGCCAAAAAATCACTTCGTTGAACAGCCAAACGAACAACCGTGAACAGCGAGTGAGTACGATCGTTGTTCATTCTGCCGTCAGCCAAGAACGGGTACTACTCTGTGCAACTGGACGAATCGTCACCGCGACTGATTCTTTGTCCATTGTTGGCATAATAACGTAGGGCTGTCCCACTGCGCCTGATGCTCCGACCCGCCCAACAACCGCCAAGAAGAACGATGAGGGTTAGGGGAGGGGTGAACGGAAGACTTTTTCTGTTTTCCAACTTTCTTCCCATCTTTCGTCTTGAAAAAACAAAGCACCGACGAAGATATATAACCCATTACCGGCGTCTGCAAACAAACAGGTGGCAAGTTCTTGGAGCAAACACGGATGGATCGAAATGCCCCTGCGGCATCATTGTGTGGGACCAGTCTCAGGAGGAAGACCATACAGAGAAACGGAACCGACCTACTTCACCATTTCGCGCGCTGAGCTCGTTGCGGAGAGGGTGCACATGAAAATCATTCCGTGGGAAAGGTTCACGGAGTTTCCCACGATACTGTGTACATGGGAAAGGTTCACGGAGTTTCCCACGATACTGTGTACAGGATTGTTTCGGGACCCATGCGATTATTCATGAAATTCCACAATAGAAGAAAACAGGAAAGGATATTCCGCTTCGCATTTCAGGTAAGAAAAATCAAAGCTAACGCAGCTGGAGAAGAACGGCCCCTTTTATAGAGTTGGTGGCTGGCTGCAAGATATTCTTTTGGCGCAGCTCCAAACCATATCGACGACAACCCGCACAGCAATTTTCGGCGCAAGCGCCGGCTTTGACCTCCAATTTCTCGCAGCCCCGAGCCCCCGAAGAAAATTGTGGACCCTGACGACTTAGATCTATCCGCCAAACAAACAGTCAGTCAGGCCGACAATAGTACACTTACTCCCAACCAACGAGTCTGTTTCTTCCCAGGCTGTCCGAAATCGATCAACATCTCCGAGGGGTGCGAAACAAGCTTCTACCAACCGATAAACCACGCATGCATGCATCCAACGGAAATAACCAAGCCGCATACCACCTCCTGTGAGAACTGTCAGCCGACCTCACGCTTTCGGTGCCACCGCCGCCGTGACACTTGTACCTGCACTTTTGCAGTCTTCCACGACCAGATTTGCCTCAACAGGACTCGCGCTCTTCAGTTCGGGTCCAAACACCAAGGCATGCTTACTGTGCATGGAGATTTTGCCCCAGACCTGGACTAGCTCGTGGCCGTCCTGGACTAGCTCGTGGCCGACATCACCCGACCACCAGGACGACCACCACGACGACCACCACGACGGTTCTCGTCGTTGCTGAGTCGGTTCTCGCCGTTGCTGAGTCGTCCACGCTACCGTCAGCGACTTCGCGCCGTTCAGCCGGAAGCATATTTGACACGCGCTTCCGGTGGATTTACCAGGCACGGTAAACGTGAACACCTCAGTGCTGGGCAAGTCTACGAGCGTTCGTTCCATCTCTCCCCCGGCGTTTGCCCCGCTTGGGGCAATTCCAACCTGCCCCTATGCAACGTTTACGAAAGGTTCCCTCCGTGCAGCACCCCAACAGTGGACCACGAGGTTCCGCGTGCCAAGATTGACGAAGTGGTAGTGCGACTCTCTGCTCTTGAACACGAGCTTTGGCAAAGGAACTGGTTCCGCACAACCGGCTGGCACGTCGTTTATTTCCCTGAGGGCAAATTCGCAAAAGTGCTCAACAGCCACCTCCAAAACGAAAACACCCCCCTCGATTTCGACGATTCCCCCATTCATCGGGACCCACTCTGAATCAGAGTCCTCTCGTTTGACAGCCGAAAAGACGTACCCAAGGTGGGCACGGTACGCCACCTCAGTTTCATCACGGCTGCCGCGCTCGGAGCCCGATTCCATTGAGTCCACGTCTCCGACGGGAAACCTTACGTATTCTCTGTGTGAAAGGGAAATGTTTAGAAGAATCCAGGTGCGGACTTTGTGAAGGCCGTTTCTAATGCGATCGGATATCACAAACGTTCGAATATGTAGAGCCCGTTTCTTCGTGCCATATGTGAAAAAAAATAGGGGAAGGGACGATCTAGAAATATTCAGAATGATGAACGAAGGATTCCAGGAGTACTCACACCGACCACTGGACGCAGGGGCAAAGTTAAATGTCAATTTAGGACTGGGGACATCAACCTTGTTTCCGAGAAAATTGACAGAAGGTAGTCGAAGGCGACGACAAGTTCAATTGTGAATGTGGCTCGGGATTAGGCGTATCCAGCGCCGCGTGTCATCAGAATAATGAACATCCGATGACCCACTGTGCAAAGTTTACTCAAAACTTAAAACTTGAAATCGGTGCACACGGGTCTCACACCCAGGCATCCTTCCACACGAAAAACGGCAACTCTTTATTCTTTGCCACCCTACCAAGTAGCCTACTTATGTTTCAACCCTTGCATATTAGTTTCCAAATGCTTAACTTTACACCAATGACCATCATGGCACTGTAGAAACCAAATTTTACTCGCAGTACACGCACTCCCGGCTACCACATGCACTCAGGACCGCATTCGTCCACACAAATTCTGGCGTCTCTTTGCCTTTGTTGACCCTCCCGACCAAATTCCCCACGTTGTCCGGAGTTCTGGGAAACTCCTCTTCAAATCTATCACAAAGCTCCCTGTTGAAGCAACGAAGAAACTCTTTTATGTCAGTCACGAAAAGTACCCTTGCGTTCTTGCCCCTTCTCAGCTTTTTCTTCAACTCTCTCCTCGGGTCGTCAAGAATCTTAGACGCCAAATCTTTCGATACTTTGGAAACCGATGGTAGAACACACTCCTTTTCTACCTCTGACACGTAAAGTGCGTGCATCTCCCTCAAAACTTCCAACTTGGCAGCATCCGTCGACTCGGTGCTCCTCTTTACCCTGGTCTCCTCAACCTTTGGCTTCTTCGCACGACACACGGGCACAACTTCACCTATTAGCCTCTTACTGCCCACAAACCCCTTCTCGGGGACCATACTTCCACCCCCAGCTCTAAGACTATCAAGCGTACGCTCGCATTCCGCAATTTCTCCCTTAATTTCTTCGCGAGCAATTTGCTTCTTGAGCTCTCTCAATTGTTTCTTGTTCCCCAAAAACTCTGGATCATCATCTTCATCCGAGGCATCAGGGAGCGTACGCATACCCTTCATCTCCCCTAGAAATTGTCGGAAAAACTCAACCACACCACCAGGTCCGAAAAACGCCTCCATCGAAGGGTGTACCGTTCTTGGGTGATTTCCCACGCGCTGCGCACCCTGTTTCAACGGCCCAAATCCTACTTCCCGGTCAAACAGACTCAGAAAATCATCCTCGTCGTGTGCAGTCACTGGTTCACCATCTTCCCCATATGTCTGGGCCAATCCATGATTCTGACCCTGAAATGTACCATCATCGGCCACTTGCAGATCTCTCTTTACCATATTGTACGTTTTCTCGCGCTCAAAAATGCCGTGTCTAGCCAGAGCAAAAAGGTTGACAATTTCAGGGTCGTCGTGCTTCTTTCCCTCCTTAACAGCATTTGTCAAAACAGCCGTGACATGCATTGACCGCAAAATGTTGGGACCAAAGGCTGGCAAACCAAGACAATGCCTCCCCACGTACCGGTAAAGAGTGTACAACTGTGTCCTATTGTAGGTCTTGCCAAATTCAGTAATGGGACCTATGTTTGCTTCGAGCTCAACGGCGTACTTCTTTTCCTCTTTGGCAATAGCATCACCTGATGCCCCCGAGCTCCTGAGCTTTGCGATCACTTGGGCTAGCTTGGTTTTCAGCAGATCTCGGATCAACCGTCGCCCAACCACGAGCATGACAGCATACGGGCCTTCCAATTCATTTGAGAAGGGAGGGGGAGGGAGGGGTGGTTTTTGGTTTCAGGTTTCAGGGTAAAATACATATCTCACATCTCACGATTCAGGCAAGAAACACACACACACAAACTCTCTCACCTTTGCATGCCGAACTCTTGGTGTGGTTAACAGCGAGCCCATACAAGCTCCGCGCCAATTCTTCGCCATTCTTGCAATCCTCCGGCAGGACAGCCCGAAGTAGACCGTCAAGGATGTGGAAGTCTCTTGCCTTGCACCCCAGGATGTCCTGCGGACGCAGGCACGGCCCTGACGTTGCGTCCAGCATGTTCAGGGCGCAGCTGAACGTCGACCACTGCTTCAGCGTAATCTTTTTCAGCTTTCTTGCTACGCTGTCTATGTTAGCCCGCTCGGCAGCCGGGTAGAGGTGTGCTTCGTCCGTGTGCTCCCCGATTGCATCCGGGTCACTTGCAGCACCCGGTAACACACCTCCTTGTCCTCGTCACTCACTAAGTCCATGACAAGATCTACACCATTCTTTTTCAGCATCTTCCGCAAGAAAAGTACAGCTTCATTGTTCCCCGATTTGTGCGTCCGCCCACCTTTTACCTTCGGGCCATAACCCATTCGCACCCGCCTGTTCTCCCAAATCACAGCCAACCTTTTCTTCTCTTTGGCTACGCCCTCGTACTCTGAGTACCAAAGGTCGATGACCTCTAGATCCTCTCTTCTAGTTATGCTCAAGTCCATTGCTTTTTGAAAAGCTACGAAATGCTTTCGTGTGGGGCTGACCCTGTCATTTAAAAAAAAGCCGGTGTGCGTGACAGACGAAATCAAGCAGAAACAAAGCGGAAATATGCTTAGGTGACGCGATAGACAAACCTCGGAGAGTCTCAAACATAACCACCAAATACCAAATCCCTCTTACTTTCGCTCACCTGCTCGTGTTCTCCGTAGTCGGCTTGATCGGCTTCTTGTCTCTCCCGGGGCGGCTAAACAGCATCGTTCTGTACAATGGAGCATACGCATACCATTGACACAGTTCGTTGGAGACCCGAGCTCTCGCCACAAGAGCTCGCGTGGCCAACCCGTACCTCGCGACATTGACCTCTATCTTCATGATGTGCAGCGAAATCCTCCTCTGCTCCTCGTGCGCAAGATTGACTCCCGGGGGAAGCTCGTCGCGGTCGCCACCCATGGACAACGGAGCCATGCACGACTCCAGGCTCATGACTCGACCTAGCTTATACGCAGCCTGAGCTCCTTTGATGTAGTGGTCTACGGTGCTGTAGTGCTGGGGCGCGTAGTCCATGTGTTGCTCGTGCTCATCCTCCAGGAGCATCAGGCCGGGGTACGTGTCGAGGTTGATGTTGAGAACTTTTACAAGACTGTTATCTTGCTGAAGCTCCCGCTGCAGCTCTTCGTCCGAGGCGAGCAAGCCGAGTTCATGGGCGTTGATCACTTCTGAAGCTCTAGCACTCTTAATCTGATCCCACGCAAACCGGCGAAGCTTGAGAGCTTCCGTTCTCTCTTTCCCTTCCAACTTGACCGGATTAACTTTTCGCTTCACTTTATCGTCGCTGATGACGAACTTGTAGACGAGGACGTACACGAGGGCAAAAATACTGCAGAAAGCCTTCCCCATCCGCTTCACCTCATCTTCCCACCGGACGATTCCCTCGCTCACGGCACTCTCGAGAAGTTGGCGGCTGTTGAGCGTTTTGTTGGTTCCCTTGCCCTTGCGCTGTTTCCCGTCCAACTCGACCCGAAATTCTAGGTAGCCGTCGGCATCCCTCTTTGCTGCCACGACTCTCCCCTTCCTGCTGTCGAGCTCAACCTGTGTGCCGCTCACCGGGTCCACCGTGATGCCGTACAGTCGTGGGTCCTCTTTCTCCATCTTCCGAATGATGGCACCATCAATTTCTATCTCTGCCTTCATCTGTCTGACGGCTTCGGTGACGTCGTTCCTCGTGAGGTACCGGGTATCCGAGATCGGCTGATCCTCTTTTTTCTTTTTGGCGAGCTCACGCTGGGCATCTATGTTCGCCTTGATGACCTCGCGATCCTCCTCCTCTTTGGCTTCGACGAGGTCGATGTACGGGGACCTACTTGCCCGCGATTTCGCTGATCTGCTGCTCGCACTATCACTGGCCTCGTCTCCGCTGTCATCCCCACCACTGCCACTGTGTTCGTCTCCGCTACCACCCCCGTCGTCGCCTCCAGAGTCCTCCCCGGGGACAAAGCATTTTGAGCACAACCACTGCGCAAATCAGAGAAGCAAAAAAAAGAAAGGGGGTTTGTGTCTTGTGTCCAGCGATTGAATTTCGACCTGAGATGCACTAATATTCACTTCCCCAAAAAAAGAAGCCAAAGAGTACATTTTTAATCCTGTTGCGCTCTCTTTGCTCTCACCGTTTCACTGTCGTCACAGACCGGGCCATCCGCGCAATCCCGGTGCCAGCACCCCTCGCATCCAGAACATCTCATCATGTCGTCGTCGTCATCAAAATGTTGCCCACACTCCGTGCACATTTCCTCGTCTTCGCCTTCGCCGTCGCTTCCCGCCCACAGGAGATCACGAGTTGTCGCAGCCCGAGCCTCCACCGAAAGCTGCGCCTCCCGTTCCCGTATCATCTTTGCAATCTCGTCCTGTCTCTGAATTTGCAGATTGATCTCCTCCGCCGAGTATCCATTGGTTTGATGGATAGTAGCAGAGATATCGGCATTGTTGATCTGAGAGGAAGCGCCTTGGTTGATTGACACGAGATCCATGATTTTTCTTCGACAGTTCCTAATGCTCCTGCGGACTTCTTGCTGTTGCTCGTCTGCACTCGCCCCCCCGCGCAACAACACGCGTCGCCGGCCATGTCTAACCACGCGTCCACGCCCATTTGTCCTCCTATGGCGCCACGCCCGGCGACGCCGTTTGTTCCGGAGACGCCTGTTGTTGTGTCTCGAACGGCGACGAGTCCTCCGCCGGCTACGAGGCTTGTCGATGTCTCTCAGAATAATATAGCCGTCCCGAATGATCCAGCTGATCTTGACCCAATCGCCCCGGTCGGTCACGGTTGTCCACTCTCTCCAGATGGTACAACCGAGAAATGTATCACGTCACCGGCGTCGAGAGATCTGCACACCACCGGGAGATGCACCCTTCTCCCCGACTTCTTGCCCCACCACAGGGTCCAGGCTGGTCTCCGCATTGGTCTCGGCGCTGGTCTCCGCGCTGGTTCCCTCCCCAGTGTCCACGGGGATGTCAGCCGCCTCGGCATCAGTCTCCGCGTCCTTCTTGTTAGGGAGAATTGTACGAAGAAGTAGTCAGAGAGCAAAACACGATTTCACGGTTTGGACAAGGCTAAAGTATCAAGTGTAACATAGGATAGAGACATGGCTGAAAACAGAAAGGCATTGGAAGCTTTTGGAACACGAAAACAAATATAAACATACCACAACAAAACACACTACATTTCAGGCTCGCCACGTACCGCGTCCGCGTCGGTGCTTGAGGTTTCCGTACCGGCCGCTGCGCTGGTCCTGCGGACATTCTCCCTCGTGTTCACCTCACTCAGGTACGACCCAAAGGTGACGTTATATCCCTTGTTTTTTTAGCAACAAAAGCAAGACGAGACATTGCTTGTTAATACTTGGTTGAGCAGGAGGAGGGCCAGTGTTGAGACAAGCGTGGAGGTACAGACAAGTACACGTGGCGACATGGGCTTGTTTGTAGTTTTCTGTATAATCTACTCGTCATGTCTTCTGAGAAAGAAAAACGCACCTCCACACTCGTCTCCGCTCTGACGTCCGCGCTGGCCTCCGCACCGGTCCCACTGGCGTCCACGCCCGCGTCGGTGCTCGTAGTCCCTGCGCTGTCGGCTATCCTCTTGAGACCTTCCCGTGAAATCTTGATGAGCTCCAGGAGGTAGTCCACTACCCATTCCAGGTCCTCCTCATCTGAGATGTTAGACTCGCACTCCTGTGAAAAAAACGGAAAGACGTTACATGATGTTACGATTTTGCGAGAAAAAGCGGGTGGAGACGGGGAAGCAACTTAAAGTACATGCGGCTATCGACAGAAATAATTGCATTTATACTCTAAAAACTCACGTCCTTGAGAATAACGGCCCTGAAGTGCCCGTAGTCATAGTAGACCATGTTTGCCACGTTGCCTTCGTAGTTGGTCCGCAGGTACTTGCCGTCTTCGTACTCGCTGTCTCCGTCTTTACTATCTACCCTCTCTTGGACAACCGCAAAGTCGTGCATGCCGACGCTGGCGGCCAGGACTTCGGCGGCCAGGTCGTCTCCTAGTCCGCGCGGGTGAAGGATGCTGTTCTTCCAGTCGTAGAAGTTCCCGATGTCCCTCCGCACCGTAGTTGCCATCTCCTCGATCTCCTCGGGCGTGACCGCCGACTGCTCCTCGACAGTAAAAGCGTCGCGACCAGGGTGGAATGGATCGGCCTCGAGAGCTGCGACCGTCAGATTTCGAACTCCCGAGGCCAACTTGTCCAACTTATCGACTTCCGCGCCACGCTTACCGTCCTTCAACAGGGCCTGCTCGGCATGAACTGGGTGGAGGAGGCCTTCCGACATCAAGTGCCTCTGAAGAATTGACTGCCACCAGCAGTCTCCGCGTCCACCGATATCGATTAGATCGCAGTGCATCCTCCAGTTGAATCCATTGGTGGTGGTCGGGATGACGCGAGGATCCTTGCTTCCACCCTTGCTTCCACGGCGGCGACCCGTGACGACAGTCCATCCTTTTTCGACAACCATATTTCACCTGTTTTGACCCGCGGGCAAAAAACAAGGGCATCGAGATAAATAGTGTTTATGGTAAGTACAAACAGGCATAATTTGAATTTTGTTAAAAAATAACTGTACAAAAAAAGAAAAAAAAGAAAGAGAAAAAGAGGGGAAAAGTCGTGTACAAAACAAAAAGAAAGAGAAAAAAAAGTAAAAAGACAGAAGAAAAAAACGTAGGTCAACACTGGGGTCGAACCCGCGTCCTGCTGTGGAGAAAAAAAAAAAGAGAAAAAAAAATATGAGTTGTCCGGGATTCGAATCCACGTCACTCACACGTAATGCGCGTATCTTTTGTTGGCGTGATGCGGAGTGTGGGAGTGGATTGGGAGTGGCGTCGCAGTCTCTGTGTAGCGTGCAACGTGGTTCGATGCTACAAAAAAGTTTTCTGGGGGATGGTGCTTGACTCGATTTATGGGGGAGATATTTGATCCCATTTTATATATATTTGATCTCATTTTCGAGATATTTGATCTCATTTCGATGACGTCAAATGGCTAAAACGCCACCCAGAGGCCCAAGATCCAAAATCATTTTACCCTAGATGTTGGGAATGGGTTTTACTTGGGTTTAGTGTGTGAATCGGGCATTTCATTCATCTTGTAGATCATGCGGTGCCCGAAACAGGATTTGTCCAAGTCTCCTTTTACCCCCCCTCTTCCTGAAAGCATTTACCACCACATCGATAGCCTGTACATCTCTCTCTTTCTCTCTCTCTCTCTCTCTCTCTCTCTCTCTCTCTCTCTCTCTCTCTCTCTCTCTCTCTCTCTCTCTCTCTCTCTCTCTCTCTCTTTCTCCTGTCAAGGCTGACGTATCCCCGACCGTCCCAATAACTACTCCAAAGGCTTATCGTCACCAACCGTGCATTCGCTCCCCTCCCTTTAAACTAAAATAGGTACCTTACATTTTATTGACCCCGTCCACTTTTAACCCTCTTCCCGAGGGCGTAAGTAAAATAAACTGCGTCTGGGTGTTCGCCTCTTTGCCCAAATGCTAAAGCAGTTGCCCCTCCCTGATTTCCCCCCTCTCCCGACATCGTTTTTCCCGCCCAGCCCCTCTCCCTGAAGATCCAAGTAATTCACAAGGCCCACCCGCTTTTACCCCTTTCTTCGAGGGGTAAGTAAAATAAACCGCCTCTGCCCGTGTATGCACCTCTATCCCCAAAAGATGAAACAGTCAGTCACTCCTCCCTTGATATTCCCGCTCTCCCGAAATCAATTTACGCCCAACCGTAAAGGCCCAAAAACTTTAACTTTTACAAGACCCGCATTGCCCTTCTCTTCGGGGCGTAGCAAGTAAATTGTACCGCGTCGCCGTATGTATTCACCTCCCTCTTTCGCCGAAGATTGACATAGCCGCTTCCTCGTTTGTTTGTGTCCCTCTCGTGAAGAAGTAACTTTCCCCGCCCCGCCCCGATTCACCCCCCTCCCCTCGGAGGCGTAAAGCAATTCGAACAGCACCACCCGTATCCTCCCCTCTCACCGCCGAATTCAATAACGTGCCCGCTATCGCACCAACTAAAGCATGATTCAAGTTCACAAAAACCTCTAGAGTCGTGCCCTATTTAATTCGCCACGACAGACAGTGTGTGGTGATGCGAGGGCAACGGTCCGGCGACTGCAACAAGAGTTTTGCAACCACACACACACGCATGTAGGCACCAGGGTTTCCTTCCCGCTCTCGGCTAAACCTGAACGGCGCATTTTCCGGCCGTTTTCAAATATCGGCCTCAATGCATTTGACGTTACGTTCACCGGGGCAACTGGCACCTAGCCAATAACGCACGGGTAGGATAAAACGCACCACAAACACGCGCAGAACGGGGCATGACGTGTAAACTATTTTGTACCCGGCGTTCCGCTCATTTCCTCATTCGCTTGGCGGCTCTCTCAAGCGTGGCATCGGTCACTGGGCAGTACCCCAGCCCGTGAACACGACCATCAGGGATGCACCCAACCTCCGGCCGCATCGCGCTGGCGTCAACACCGTTGCTGCCGCCAAGGTCGCCGCCGCTGCTAATGCTGCTGCCTCCGCTGCCGCCGCCGCCGCCGCTGCCACTGGCGTTGCTACTGGTGCTGTTGCTGGTGTCCGTGATAGCACTGCCGTTGCCGTTGCCACCGGAGAAGATCCCCGCCTGTTGTAGCTCACCACCATGCCCCTGCCAGGTGCCGAAGGTACCTCGAGCAACACCGCCGCCACCGCCGCCGCTGACGCCGCCACCCCGAACAACAAGGCTGTTCCGGGCGGGGAATACGCCCAAGCGCGGCAGCAGCATCGGCGAGCTGCCAACGCCTTTCGGTTCGAGACGAGGGACCAAGAACCGCGGCCTCCGCTGCGGGTCGCCACTCGGCCTGACGGAGGGAGCCCTTGGCTCGTGGCACGGCTGCTGAGGCTGTTGGTCCACCTTCTGCCTCTTGTTCGGGCGCTGCTGCTGCGGCTGCGGCTGCTGCTGCTTGTCCACGCGTGCCTGTCGATGGCGAGAGCGGAGGGGAGGAGGAGAAAGCGAGATATACTTGAGCGGTCGGCCGGCAACCCCGCGATGTGAGACGATCAGAGAGTGAAGGTAGAGACAAAAAGAGCACGACCGGCGCGAAAGGGCCGACAACAACGCCATCGCCTGCCTGTCCGCGGTAACCCCACGAACACCACGTATAGACAGAGCTGAGACCCCACGGGAACACGCGCACGAGGCGAAAGAGTGCAACTGCCCGCACACCCTTACGCACGACACGCACACGTCTTCCAGAGCAATACGTGCCAACGGTATTGAACGTAGTAGAGCGCCCGACGACAGAACGACACCCGCCCGAGGCTCTTAATACACAAGAACGGCATTTTCTGTTTTCCGCCGCGCTGAGACTGACGTTTTCTCATTGTTCAGCCAGTCAGCGCGGTGGGTACTAACAACCAAAACGCCCAAAATCCACTCACCACATACGCGACACGCGAGACACGCACCTCTTCGGGGACGAACGACAGATCGGCCTCCCGCGAAACGAGCCCCAACCAGGCGGAGGTGAACGAGTCGGCCCTGCCCAAGGCCTCCCGCTCCGCCGTTGGCTTCTCCTTCGGCTTGTCGCTGGCGCTCTGGAGAGGGCACTGGGGAAGCGTCGCCTCGCCGCTCGCTTTGCCGCCGTTGCCACTCCGAATTGTGCCCGGTTCCCCGATCGGTGACACCCTGGTTGTTTCTCCAGCGGAGGCGGCGTTCCTAGGGAGAACGGGGGGAGGGACGGCCGCCCCGCCACCGGAATTCTTGCACGGAGCCCGCCCGTGGGGAAGGCCGACGTCGACGCCGGTGCCTAATGGATCGATGTGGCTGCTCCCGTTGCCGGTGTGGTCCCTGATGGTGGGGGGTGGACGGTGAGAGTGCTGCCGGAAGGTCGCCGCGGTCCCGGCTCTCGCGTATCTCCGCTGTTGATAGCAGGAAGGGAGGCGTAATGAAGAGATGCGGTAAGTCTAGAGAGTCGGGGTGGGGGAGGTGGTGTAGATGTTTGGTCCAGCGATGCACCCTGCGGTTTCGCAAGACTGACAAGCAGCATCCGGCAGCAATTCGTGGGAGAATATGTGCAACGTGTGCGTGTTCGCGGAAATGTTGTAGGGCCGCCAATTCCTTGGTTGGGGCCAAGTACGATAGTCGAACGATACCCCGACAGTGGGGAATGTTCTATCTTCAACGTTGACTCGACGACTTCACCCACCTTCTTCACTTGCTCGACTCCGTCAACAGTCGCCGGGCGATTCCGGATTGATGCCACAAGCCCTCTAGGGGCAGCTTTTCTACCGTAACCAACAACGCCCGAACACGCCGGACCTCCGACCTTGCCACCACTGCTACCGCTTTGGTCCGTGGCGCCGTTGTTCGCCGCCGATGCCGCCGGCGCACCCGTCAGGTCGGGCCCGCCACCGGAAGAAGCCCCACCACCGGCCGCCGTGCCGCCATGGCCAGCCCAAAGCCACATCCCCTTCATGCCGGCCGCTCCATCCGCGATCTCATCGATGCGCCCTACCTTGAAGAGCCAAGCGTCCAAGCCCGAGGCTTGGTCCGCCGTTGTTGTCGGCTTCGTCTCCGGCTTGCTGTCGCTGTCGCTCCGGGGAGGAACCCGGGACAACATCGCCTCGCCGCTTGCTTTGCCGCCGTTGAACCGGCTGCCGCTCCGATCGGTGCCGATCGGTGAAGCCCTGGTCGGTTCTCCAACGGCGGCGGCGTTCTCAAGGGGAACTGGGTGGGGGGAGGCCGCCCCGTCACCACCGGAATGTTTGTACGGAGACGCCCCACGGCGAAGGAAGACGTCGCCGTAGGTGCCTTGATCGACGCGGCTGCTGCTCCCACTGCCGGTGTGGTCCCCGATGGTGGAGGCTGGGCGGTGAGAGGGATCCTGGAAGGTCGCCCCGGCCCATACTCCCGCGACCTTCCCCTTGTAGCGTTAACAGGGAATCGGGAAATGATGGAGAGAGAGACGGTTTGTATTTCGAGTCGGGGTTATGGTGTATCTCCAGTTCGATGCACCCTGCCATCTTGCAGAATGCACACCTTAACGTGCCGGGAAACATCCAACAACGCTTCGTGTAATACTAAGTGTCATCGGTGTATTCCACACGGGAGACATTGTAGTGCTGTGGCCAGCTCTGCTGACCCTCGCAACTTGTTGAACGATACACCGACACTTGAAGGGTGTTCTTGGCTCAACGTTGTCGGTCAACAAATGCCTCCACCTTCTCCCCTTTCTCGACCACATCAACAGCGGCGGGGCTCTTCCTTTTCGACGACACAATCACCGCACGGGTAGCCGTTCCACCCTCAACAACACCAGAGAGCGGTGAGCCCCCCGTCTCGCCACCGCCTAGTTCCGCCGCGCCGTTGTTCGCCGCCGATGCCGCTGGCGTACCCGCTAGGCCGAGACCATCACCGCCGCTTGAAGCGCGACCCGCTGCCTCGCCGTACCGGTTGCCCTTTTCCTCCATGAACCCGAGTTTTTCACCCGCGGTTTGATCGACACGCCCTCCGTCCCCGACAACACCGGCACCGCCTCCGACGGTTCGACCACCGCTACCGCCGTCCATGATAAGTCCACCCTCTCCTACAACAACGGCCCTCTCCTCCTTGAGAGGAGGGGCGGAAGAAACGGGCGTCCCGCCGCCGCCGCCGCCGCCGCCGCCGGAGGCACGCCGAGGCACCTCGGACACGCTCCCACCGTGGATTACGTCCCCGCGAGGGCTCTCCCCGCCTACCGCCGTGCCGCCGCCGCCGCTGTGTACTCTTGGCAAGCGCGCGGGCTCGCCACCGCCGCTGCCCTCCGGAAACGGGGGGAAGATGGAAACGAAGGCACCGGCAGTGGGGAAGGGGCCGTAGAAGCTTCCGAGGGCAGTGAAGCACGCGCGTGGAGGTAGAGGGATGACGTTGGGCGGGGGTGCGCGTACCTCGTACTCCACCTGGTTTTTTTTTTTCGAGGGGGAGCGGAGGGGGTCATGTTGTTGGCGTTTTCGCGAGAGAATGTTAGCGGTTGTATGGAGATGCACGCAAGGACGCAAGCACGCAAGTACACAAGCACGCAAGCACGGGTAAGGCTGAAAACCTGTTTTCGCCAAAATTTGGTGCAGTTTGAGGCCTACCGACATGAAGTCTCCACAAGGTCCATCGAACGAGCCAAGACGTAGAGTCGGGGGCAATAAAGGGACTGAGAATGGTACCAACGTGGACGGGAATTAACCTGTTGTTGACGGCGAGTTGTTCATTTCTGATTGGTATGTTGTTGCGATGTTATTTTCTCTCTCTTGGTAGAAGATGCGAGTCTTGGTCGTTTACATCTTTCCGTTGGGTAGCGGACCCTTCTATGTTCTCCAAACACGACTCCTCACCTCCTCCGTGTCGTCAGCAACGCGCGCGGGAAACGACGCTTCCAGCACACGCCCGGAGCAAATTACCACCCGTCCATCTCTGCCGCCACTTCCAGGACCAGAGCAACCACCGCCACCGCCCTTCATGGTGTACTTCCCCGCCGCCGCCGCCGCCGCCGCGCGCACCCCGCCGACCATTCCCCCACCGCCATCCAGGGCTCGGGTCTTGAGACCGCCACCGCCGCGGCGCCTGCCCTTGTCACTACCCGCCGCCACTACGGCCTTGGACGACAGAGAGGCTGGTGATGGACGTACTGACGACGCCGACGCTCTGGAGGAAGAGCCTCCGTTTCCCGGCTGTTGCTCGGGCGGGGGGGGGGGCTTTGGCTTGGGTCCTGTCTTTCGCTTCATGCCGAAGCAGCACGGAAGGCCCTTGTTTACACAGTACCTGCAGGACCCTTCAAGCACGGGGCCGCCGCACCGGACCTGTGTGTGTGTGTGTGTTATCGGCGGTGATCGGTTTCAGCGGGGATAGGTGTGTGTGTCTTTATTATTAGCATCGGCCGCGCTAACCGGTTGACCAATGAAAAGACGTCAAGGGGTGTGTATGTGTGTGTGTGTGCGGCGAGAGCTTTCTGTCCCCTCTGGTATGCTAGCTGCCACTCGATACGAGTTGATTATGTGCTTAGGAACCCACCTTCCTGGCTTTGCAACAGTCGCATGTGGTCCGGGGCGCTCCGCTCATGGTTCCGAGAACTCTGTGTCCGACAGTCCTCCTGTGGACTACTGAAGGCGTGTTCGACGTGAAGGTCGCCGGAGTGTTTGAAAATGTCCTGATCCGTCGGGTTGTCGTTGCCTGCGCTGCCGCCCCCCCCCCGGATAATATCCGCAACGCCGTTGTGTTGTTGACCGATGCCTGCATGGAACTACTGTTCGTTGCGATTTGCATGTCTGTGCACAAAGACCAACAACAGCAGCCTACAGCATGCATTGCATTTGTAGACTAGTACAAGGACGATCGAACAACACCCACAGAGGATGCTCTGAAACTCGAAGTACGAGGTGCGGCGGGTAGACTATGCGTGTCTGCTGGGGAGAGATTTAGATGACGGGGGCTTGTGGGTGGTCACCTGCTTGCGGCACTGGGTGATATGTTCGTTAGAGAAGCTCAAAGCATTCATTAACAATGGAGCGCTTGAATGAAATCGCGGAAACGAACATCATTCATTCTGCTTAATCTACGTTCGACAGAGTAGACAAGGCTTGGGGAAAAACCTCGTTGTAGCTGCCAGTCGAACCACGTCTAGAAATGAAACATCAATCTGCAACGTCATACCTCTCCCAGCCCTAGCCACTACAACGTCATACCTCTCCCAGCCCTAGCCACTACGACGTCCTGCCGTCCACTAACCCGAAGTCTGAACGTATGAGCGAGGGATGTGATCGGTGAGATACTTGAATCCAGCCGAGCAACAAGAACAAATTTGTCTCCAACGTGCAGCGCCACCACAACACACAGCACAAGCACAACAACTCTACTGGCGAACCACAATCGCCAGATTTTGTAGTCCGCTGGCGTAGCGATGCGCTTCTGCCTCGCGGCTGTGACAACAGCCCCCCCGTAAAGAGCACAGATGTCGTTGTATACCGCGGCTGAATATCCATCTTGATGGGGAGCTAACGGTAGGATCGCGCCCGGAACAACAGCCACACCAGCAGCGAGCTAAACAGAACATACGGCGACACCAGCAAATTGACGCCCACAGTGATATCGTGGGGGTGCTTAATTTTTTTCACCCCAATCGTCGGCACCGCGATACACAGCGACTGGGCAACCGTGCTGTTACAGCTGTATCGGAAGGCGCCCACGGCACCAGCCCTGGAGACCGCACATAACATGGAGGTGTGTGTGCATGATATGCGAGTTCGTCGTGCGGCACACAGCGCGGACAGCTGCTTGTACCACCCGCTGGGAACAATAAAAGCGTAGGCGAGGAATTGAGTCTGCCACCACTCGATCGGCCGTCGACAAGCCGTTTGGCGTGTCAACTGTTTGTAAGTGCCACGCTCGACTAACCTCATCGCTTCAGCGTTGTTATATCTGGCGGTATTCTGGCACACGAAAATCTCAATCCCTTTTTTCTTGTCTCCAAAAAAGCACGGCTGTTACCTGACCTTACCAAGACCACATACCTGGGACAAGTGCGTGAAAAATCCTCCGGCAGATAGACAAAGCTACGTGATTGAAATGCTGAGCGCCGGGTGCTGTTTCTGCTTTGCTAACGGACAAAATATGTGATGGGTGTGGCGGGTGTGGCTGCTGTGCGGATTGATTTCTTGTCATGTGGGGGGGATACGCAGAGGGGGGGCAACGGGGTACGCCAATCTGATGCCACAGCTTCAAAATGAATGATCGTTGAACAATCAACGAAACAGCTCACTGATCACCAAACCTGAACGCTGAACACACAAGACACGTACGTACGCGTAATGCATACTCCGCTGGCTACAGTACAGCGGGGAGAATGTCGAGGTAATCAGCGGAGTTCGCTTTTCCTTTGTCTCGATCAGTCAAGTTCTTCAACTAAGTGCATGTGCTGGTGAAGTATACATATCAGCCGCGTGGGCACAACTTCGATGTATGCCACGCATCGTGGTCGTTGTTGTTCACATCTACGTTGGCCCTGCTGTGTAAGTCGTGGTCCGTTTAGTTTTTTCTCCCCACCCACTCTCCTCGTACAACGGGTGTAGAGAGCAAGGAGCGACGCAGCATCACTCGAGCCGCGCGGTGTTTGCGCACCATGTCTTTTGCCGTGTGCGCATGTACGACAAACATTCCTTCGTCGGCAAACGCACACAACCTTGGGGCAAACGAACGGTCACCCCTCACCATGCGACACGAAAAAGTGTCACAAACGAAATATTATTTATCCCCGTTACACCTTGCTCTGCCTAAACTACCGCAGCGCTGCGGACTGCTGTGCTGCCAATCACTTCGCTTGTGTCCCCCGAGCATTGTTCCACCCCCACACGATCACGTCCGGCGGGTATGAGCTCTTCGTGAACGCTTCGTGGGAGTAAATGGCATCCCTGAGACAAAATAGCAGCAACACCAACGCAGACAACAACAGCACCAACAAACCACCACCACCGAATAGACGAACAAAAAATGCGAGCGAGCACAACCAACACGCAAGATTAACACAGTACATCACCGAATTCAGCCAAAAGAAGAATGAAACACGTTAACGTTCGAAAGGTCGAGCAACGAAGAGAACAGAACCGGTAAGGAACGCAACGAACGAGACGAACACAGGGATAGAGACAAATGGAGGACGGGGAAACAGAGCGAGGGGGGAGACCGAAGGGAGAGAGACACACAGGCACCCCAGCAGATGTACCGGAAACGGAAGAGCAACGACAGAAAACACAGCGACAAAAACGCGTACGAGGGCAGGGAGGCGGATCGGGGTGGGTGGGGTGAGCAATGGTGGCACGAGAATACAGATGTTGCATAGCGCTTGCTCTGCTTGCCCGATAGGTAAGTTGTCCAGACGAGTCTTGAGGCCCGCATCAACATCCCGGCAACAACGACAACAAGCGCCAGCGGGGGCAATTGGGTTCAAGAGCTTTTACTATTCAAATATTTTTCGGACGGATGGCTCCACGTACACCGCAATCAGGATCACCGTGCATCAAAGCGACGCGTGACATTGGAGCATCCGACAACCAAATCTGCATTAATTCTCTTGTGCCAATGAGAAGAAGCAAGCTTGGAAGTACAAATCATGCCCTTCAACGTCGCCGGACGTAGTAGATACAGTAGAACAGCTCTCTACGCGCTTGGACGTGACAAAGACGAGTCTCGGAAAGAAACCTCCGCTCGCTCTGGCTGGCCTTTTCGTAAAGAAATGCCAGAAAAAACTCCTGCACCCCCCTCCCCCCTTACGACCCTTGTTTCGGCAACTCCTGCACACCCCTTCGCTTCCCTTGTCTCGGCGTTCCTTTTCTGTAAATCTAAATATCTCACATGTACTTGTGCAGCGACTCCAGATCGGGCGAGATGACCGTGTTCTTGAAGTGGGCCAGGCACGTCGAGGCGTGGTACAGCTTCGGCGCGAAGGAGCAGTCGGCCAGGGTCAGCTCCTCCCCGCACAGGTAGGGCCCCTTGCCCTTCTTGAGGAAGGCTGGCGACATCAACGAAAAAAAAAGAGGCGGTGGAGCACAAGACAGCATTTAATATTGGTAAACTTCAATAGCTGTAATCCTGCAATAAACAGAACAGCACTAGTTCAAAAATATCTTGCAATACATCCAATATTTGACTAAATTCAATTATCCATACTGGTACATGTTAAACTGTAACGGGGTTATATCACAATGACAGATACACGGGGTGCGTTTTCAAGAAAACGACTAAACCGTCATGTCACTCGCATCCCCGGCCGGACAGACCTGAGGCAAGGAGGTCAGCGAGACTACCACATACACATCCGTTTTGAAGGGGAGAGGCGTACTAGTTAGCGTCGCAGCATGGTTAGTCCAGAGCAGCGGTGGGGCAGCAAGTTAAAACACACGGAAAACCAGTTTGGCACGCGGTTCCAGGACATGGAGAACTAAGTAACTCCCATAAATACTTTGGTATCCCGTGTGCGCAACTCGACTTATGTAAATAGCGCTATCTTGTTCTCGAGGCAACCGGAAAGCGAACGTTACGGGTTACTTCCGCGACAACAATTCTCGACGAGGGCCACATGTGGTCGCAAAGCCGACCATCGCCGCTCAAGAACACCGCCGAGTCTATGTATGCACAACAGCGGACTTGGAAATACGACTTTCGCACTCGTATAATACAACGGTCGCATCCCTCCCTCCCAATAATTGGTTGTGTTTGTTCAGGCCCGCCAATCACAGAGAGAGGTAACAACAACAAAGCAGGGACACGCCGATAAATGGTGGCCTTGGAACCTCCCGGTCGAGGGCTTTCCGAAAACGCATCATTTGATTTCGGCATCCATCTTTGTCGTGGAGAAATCGACCTCAGCTATTTTGCGCAACCTCCTGCATACAACCGTCCCGTTCCACACCTCCCTCCGTCCCCGTCTCTCACCGTCAACCTTCTTCAGCTCCGCCATGGCGTCCGCGATGAGCATCGGGTCTTCCTTAGGGTTGAGGTTCTTGATGCACTTCGCCAGCGAGCCGAACACGCCGCTTGTCACTTCTTTCGCCTTCAGACGAACAATCAAAAATATATGGGGGTGTTAGATGTAATTAATTGTTTTTGGGTTTGGGGAGTACACATGTAGGCAGGATCAATTATTTCGGACGCAAGCGCCTTGCGGTCGACGCTCATTGGCCATGTGCAAAAATCGCCAAAGTTGGGGGAATTAAACTCAAGGCGGGTAGGCTCACGGACAGAAGTCTGTCCCCTAGCACACACGCGGCCCACAGTTCGATACAACCTATGGTGAAAAACTCCTTTCTCAACGACAAAAAAACAACGAATAGCCTTGGTGCCAGATGTCAGTCAGTGCAGCCCGGCTTCTGTATGAGCGAAATCGTGCACGGAGGAACAGTTCTTCTACGAATCCTCTCACACTTGCCACTGCTCTGGCAAAATCAATTAATCCATACAATCTCAAGTAATTAAGCAATTTTCGGTTTTTAGGAGACGGTATGACGAAAAACAAAAAAAAAACAAGAGTTCTAAAAACGACGTGCAAAAAAAGAAAAAGACAAGGCAGCAAATGGTGCAGACACCGCCGCGGGCACAAGAAGAAATAAAGTTGTTTCCAAACACCACTTTCCTTTTCTGTTCTCTGGGTTTGCGGGTGTTGAAGAATCGATTAAATGTCCTAACCGAGAAACCGTTTCGAAGGAACCGGCCAAAAAGGGTTTCGTAGTAGAGAAGGCAAGCGTCGCTAAGTCGGCGGGGGATGTTTTCGGTCCATTGGTTCGGCTCGAGTATTCCAACCCGCTGCTCGGTGCAGTCAGTCGGGAGCACGACGAAACCAGAACCTTCGCGTCGCCACCACTCTCCCCCAGCGACAGCGGCTTGATAGGGAGAGCTTGTGCTGCCAGCCCGTTGCGTACGCAAACGCCTCTGCTTTGAATCTTCTCTCGTGCAAGCGTCAGCCCTTGGCACCATGCCCGCACCCCTTCCTCCCCGTCCCTTCTTTCGCGAGGGCTTTACTATTAATCCATGATAGAGAGAGGTGGGGGTTCGTATCCCTATTCCCACACCGTAAACACAAGATAACACACACCCTGAACCGATTTTCAAATCCCGATTTCGATTTCTCAACAAACAGATAGAGTCACAGCGCCGAAAACGGTGGCGTTGAAGCTGCCTCGTCGACAGCTTTCCGAAAATTTTATTGCTTCATTTATGCATCCTCTTCGTCATGGCGTAATCGAGCTTTGAAAATTGGTCCAGGGGGTGTGTTATCTTGTGTCGTATACGGTAACCCCAACCCTCAAAGACACCCCCCGGACCAACGCCACCCCGTACCCCCTACTAAAACCAACCTTATTGCATATCTTGGCGAAGGCTACTGCTGCTGCCTTTTCCATTACCTTGGCCACGGCGTCGCTGTCCTTGATGCTCAACGTGGGCTCCGGGTAGAAGTACTCGACGTAGTCGACGATGTTGGCCGACTCCGTGTAGGCCTCCTTGCTGTCCACGAGGCACGGCATCTGGCCCTCGTAGTCCTCCACAAGCCAGTCCGGCTTTACAAAACAAAGAACACACAAGGGGTGCACACAAGAATTAAAAATTGGTACAAGGTGATGACAACTGAGACAAGGAAGTACTTGGTAAACATATAGGGCATCTGGCCCCCGTAGTCCTCCAAGCCAATCCGGCTTGCAAAAAAGCACAGGGGTTCACGAAACAAGATTAAAATGACACGAATGAGAAAAAGGAAGCATATATTGTATTATTATCCTGTTCCATTGGGCGTTTGGCCTTCATGGTCCTCCACAAGCCGACCCAGCTTGAAAAAAAGCAAGGCTTACACAAAACAGACGAGACAAGGAAGTATTTCAAACGAGTCAAATGAGAAAGCACTGATAGTAGATAGGAAAAGGGGGGCATGGGATGCCAAACGCGAACAAAAGGCAAGTGAACAGATTCACACAAACAGAAAAGGTGTCAGCGTTCGTTTTTTCTGGATCTTGAGGGCGTGCTTGACGCTCCGACCGTCCGACCACTGGGAAAAACCCCAAGTACTCAAGCGGGGAAACAAGAAAAAAGAAACAAATCGAGTTCCGGTCCGCCGGCGATCCCTCTTGTGCCACGGACACAAAAACACAACACGTCTCTGTGGTCTTTCCAGTGCTGCACGCTTGTGCATTTGGCGCCGATCGATTCACGGACTCCGCAACAGCCGTAGCGACAACGCCGCCGCCGCCGCCAACAGTTTCTCACCTTAGCGTCTGGCGCCACGGGTGTGAGCTTGAACGGCAGCCCCTTGTACTGGAGAACCATCTGGAGATGCACAAGAAAGGGCGCGCGGTGTCGGGGTCGGAGGGGGGGGGGGGGAGAAGAAAAGGGGGGTGAAGGACCACGGACAGCAGTCGGTCAGCGTACGCGAGTTCGGCCGCCGCTCTCCCCCATCATCGTGTCTCTCTGCCGTCCACCAACAGTCAGTGCGCGCATCCTCCGATCGAGATATATTTTCCGGTGCACATCTCCACATCAATTGAATTCCGTGCGCACGTGGGTAGTAGGAGTTGGCCCGAAGAGGGATCGCGGCGAATCGAGGAATGGCTAGAGATGAGAAAAGGCGTGGGTAGCAACGCGAGGAGGTTGCGTGCGCTAGCATAGTGCCCTTCCTTCATGAAGCTCTTCGTGTCGCGGTGTGTATCTCTCTCTCTCTCTCTCTCTCTCTCTCTCTCTCTCTCCCCCTCCCTCCCGCTTTCTATCTGCCTGTCTGTCTCTCTCTTTCTTTATTTCCCGTACAGAGCCCACCACACAACCTTTCGCTTGTCTTCCCTCCCCCGCGCTTCCTTCTTTCCTCGTTTCGTTTCGTTTCGACACCTTAACCTTTCATTGCCCGCTGCTCTCTTCCAACGCCCGCGGAACACAGGCCGCAGTACGAACACGCAGACGGTGGACCGCCGTTGGCGTCAACGTTTGGTGGTCGGCGAACCCCTCTCCGGCAAGAACACGGGGGGAAAGACTGACTCACGTGGACGTAGTGAGTGAAGGGGCAGTCCCCCAAGGCGTTCCCGTCCGCCGCCGCCTTGCAGAAGAGCTCCATGTCCGGCTCGAGCAGGCCCGGTCCCGCCTTCGCCATCTCCTCCTTGGGCGCCTCCTTCTTCTCCTCCTGCCCGGTGCCCGTCGTCGTCGTCAATCGGCAAGACAAGCAGAGACGTCGGTTATAGCCCCGGAGGAGGCCAAGCTTCGGGAGTGTACATGTCCTGCTGTACAGCTTTGGTTCGGTGTGTTTTGCTTGGGGCTCTTCCGAGTCTAGACGCATTAGCTGCGTGGGCTGTTTGTTCGCGCTTGGAAAAACACTTGGCAGTTAGTCTACGTATGCATCGCTTTTCGAGCTTTTTCGTGTTCATGCTGTGCTCTCATGAGTCGATCCACTCCTGAGGGCAGGCGCCCTTGTTCTACAAAAGAGCGCGTCTTCTTGGCCGACGAAGGCGCGGAGAATCAGTTTGCGGGTATGTTTAAAAGCCGAAAGCAAATCAGTAGACTAGATTACAAGCCGAAATCAAACCATGAGACTAGTTTAGAGGCCGAAATCAAACCTGTACTGTAATTCGTGTTGAAGCCGAAATCAAACCGATCGACTATTTATCAAGCGCTGACTAGTCTAATGGTTTCGTTTCCGCTTCTAAAGGTGCCACCCTGACCGCGCCCAACCACAACCTATGGTGGGGGGGGGGGGGGGGG